GCTGAGGCGGTGCTCCTGGTGGCTGCGGTCTGAGGAGAAGCGTGCGTGAGTAGTCCTGCCACCGGCCCGGTCCACGGGCGACAAGTGTTCGGGATAGGACGCTGTGCGGGAGGGACCCGGGCCTCCTGGCTTCTGGGCCACAGGCCTGGCTCTTGGTCGACGAAGGGAGCACGGGGGAGCCATCTTTGGCTAGAACCTGGCCCCGGAGGCGTCTTCACAGAAAGGGGCCTGGGCTGGAGGTGGGGGTGGGGTGGGGGTGGGGGTGGGAGGCAGGGAGGGTCAGGTGGGGCACTCATTGTCCCCGGGGCCAGTCAATGGAGCTAGACCCCCCACCCCACCCCACCCCCACACACCCCAGGCACTGCTGTGGAGGACAATTTTCCATCAGTAGGATTACCCTCGTAAAGGACCCCCTGAGGTGTAGCATCTGGTTACGTCACACCGGTGTGGGTGGGCGTCGGGGCCCGAGAAGGAGGTATCGTAGGCCCCTCAGGCCAGTCTGAGCCGGACCAGGGTCGACAAGATGGTCCCCTGGACCAATCTACAAAACCTACTCTGATCACGCAGTGGAATATTACTCAGCCCGGAAGAAGGAGATACCCGGATGCAGGTCGCTCGTGGGCGGTCCTTGAAAACATAGCGCCGAGCAGAAGTAAGTGCGTCACAGGCTGAGAACCCGAGAGCTTCGAAACGTTCTTGGAAAAACCCCTTGATCTTTTTTATTCCATCTTTCCACAAACTCTGGGAACATTGTAGGATCCCACTTACATGAAATCATGACAGATTCATAGAGACTCAAGTTTATTAGCGATTGTACCTTCATTGTTTAAGAAGTTTTGAGTTTCTGTTTATGGTGATGGTAAATGTGTAGCTAAATACTTGTGGTGGTTAATGTGGTGGATGCAGCCGATATTAATTAATTGAACCCCTCATAAGGTTGAATTGGAAAATGTTATGTGATCTATACAGCATAACAATTACAAAATTTTAATTTTTTAAAAATCATTTTATTAGGGGATCATACAACTCTTATCACAATCCATATACACATCAATTGTGTTAACCGCATTTGTATATTCATTGCCCTCATCATTCTCAAAACATTTCCTCTCCACTTAAGCCCCTGGCATTAGGTCCTCATTTTTCCCCTTCCTCCCCGCTCCCCCTTTCCTCGTGAGCCCTTGATAATGTATAAATTGTTATTTTGTCATATCTTGCCCTGTCCGACGTCTCCCTTCACCCACTTTTCTGTTGTCCGTCCCCCGGGAGGAGGTCACATACAAACTAAGTTTTTTAAGTGTCCTGGAAGGGAAAGAAATAGGAACAGCCTGTATTTTTCCAAGCCATAACCTGAGAGAATATTTTTCCTGTTATTTCTTTGTAAGAAGCAGCCAAAGTATGTGGGTCATACCGGTCCCAAATGTTCAGAACCTTGGTGGATGTCAGACACCTCAGACTTGACCTTGGGTCTGTGTCAAGCAGGATGAGTATGTGAGTCCCTGGTTGGTGCAAATGGTTAACGGAGTCTACCCGGAGGTGCCTCGGAAGAAAGGTCTGGTGATCTCCTTCTAAAAGATCAGCCATTGAAACCCTGTTCAGTACAGTTCCCTTCTGACACATGTGGGATGACAATGGGTGGGAGCCGAACCCATGGAAACTGGGTTTGGTCTTGGAGCTTTTGGTCTTATTTTATGATGGGTTTAGACCACTGGGGATGCTCACTTGAAAACAAGTCATTCCAACACATAGCCTGATCCTTTAGTTGCGGCCCACATGTGACCTGATTTGGAGCCCACGAATTAGGCTGGGACCCTGAGGTCTTAAAGGGTTGGGATGGTAGTCCAACTCTGTACCAGGATAATTGGTCATAACCACAAACATTCCTGCTGCTTCCAGCACAGGAGATGATGAAGGGAGACTGAGCGAGGCTGCCTACGCTTGTCCTTGAGAGAACGGAGCATAACCTGACCCCACGATTCTGAAGTGTTCCCCGTGCTCCGGCCTCAGCCGCTCTGACTCCCTGGGTTTGGCACCAATGATGCTCCCCATTTAATCTTCGCAGGGAAGTTGTCTGAGTCCACCTTTCTGGGAGGAAACACTCTACCCTCCTGGGAGGGACGGAAGACTGCCTCTTTCTGAGTGATCATGCCGGATAGAAAGATGTCCATCATCTCCTTGGAACTGCCAGTACCCATTGCTCTTGGGTTGACGCCGGATTGTCAGGTGAACCTGTGTCTCCACAGGGTTCTCAGCTGCTGGTGTCCTGGAAGGGGATTGCCAGGTCTTTTTGCCCAGGCGCCTCTGGGTGGACATGAGCCACCAGTCTTTCAGTCAGCAGCCGACTGAGATAACCATTTGGCCCTCCTGGAGACTCCCTCATTTCATCTTCTTCCCTTTTAATTTGATTTTTTTGGAGATAATACCACCGGCGTCATGAAGCAGATTTAACTCTGAAGTGTTGTCATCATTTTGATGTGGCCCAAGTGGCTTGGACCAGTCCACGGGCACCATGGAGGAAAGGCCTGGACTCCAAGGACTGCCAAGAACCCCATCAGAAGCTGTTGTACTCTGTAACACACGGTAGAGGGGGGCGGGGGAAGAGGGGGCTTGCCACAGTCGGAATCAACTCAGTGGCACCAGGTGTGAATATCCGTGAACTATCCCATAACATTGATCCTTGTTTCATGTGTAGGTGTGGATTTTTCAGGCATATGGCCATCTTATGATTCTTCCTAGAGTTCCTGGGTGGTGTATTTGTCTGCGTTCTGTCTAGTATCGTGGAGAGATGAAGCCATTTTCTGTCTCACACTTAGGAATATGACATATTAGTGAGCAGACGAGTACAACCCACTGCTACCTACTCGATTCTGACTCAGAGTGACCCTCAGAGTAGAACAGCTCACTAGGGCTTTTGAGACTATCCCTCTTCACAGGAACAAACAGCCTCATCTTTCACTGGTGGAGCGTCTGGTGAAATTGAACCACTCACTATGCAATTAGCATCCCAGTGTTTACCCCACTGTTCCTTACAGAGGGACTCGCTACATGGTTGCTGAATGAAGCAATTGACAAGGCATTGACTTTCTTGCGGCCCTCCTTTCTTTCCTGATGTAAATGGACATCTGCATCAGTTAAACTAGAGAAAGTCAGAAGCTCGGTCAGGAGTGACCAGTTGGAGACTCTGGAATGTAACCACATGTCATTTTCCATTTGTAATCTAGGTGCTGAGAAGGGGAAGTGGTGGTATAAAAGTTTCTGAGCAGTCAGAAGTGGAACCCAGAGGCCCAGAGTCTCTGCTCTAACCTGCTGTGAGGTCGAAGCAGAAGACTAGAGCTAGCCACACTCCATCAGGTGAGTTGGGAGCCCCAGACAGAAGCACTCACCACCGCAACCTCACTTTGCCAACAAACGGGCCCAAGGCTGTGATTTTACCTCTACACGCAGCTTTGCCTTAATCCCAAGCATGCTGCTTTCTACTTTGGTTTTTCTCTCTTTGTCATTCGGTGCTAGCTGGAAGGCTGGTGTTTCAAACCCATAGCCACTCCACAGGAGGCTAAAGATTTACAGTCTCAGGAAGCCTATGGGACAATTCTGTTCTGTCTTGTAGGATCCCTAATGAGTCAGAACTGACTCAATGGCAATGGGTTTGGTGTTTGATTATAACTATTTAAACAACTACAGTTTTTCAAATGGAGTAGAACCAGTTGGTTAGAAGTTCATTCGATGTACTCTTTAATAAGGGCTAGGACAATGCAGACCCCACCATGGTGCACCAAACCTGAGGGCAATGTAACCATGTGGAGAAATGCATGAAAAGACAGATATAGTGCTGACCCCAATCAAAGCCAACTGACCCCCTCCCTAGAAGTATGCGCTACAGAGAACAACACTAAACCTACAGGTTGGGGAGAGGGGCCGGCACGCCACACCCACACGAAGGCAAACCAAGAAGGAAAAAGAGAAAGGGACTGTCTAGACCCCATATGGGCACACCACGCCTGGAGGACAACATCCTTGCACGGAGCTGCTAAGGCACAGAGAGGACTGTAGGGCTGACAACAGCTCAAGACATGTTGTCCCCTCACTGGAGCACACTGTGACAGATGACAATACTGGGGACATAGGGCGGGGAGTTAGTCTGGTCTGAAACACCCCCACCCCCCCGCAGCAGGGAAAACCAAGAAGGGAATATAACTAATCAGTAATGGGAGCAAAACCAAGTCACAATGCCCCTGAAGAGCCCCCTACCAAATAGAATTCAGCTAGGAGGGGCAGCTCTTGGAATACCGCCAGGACAAGTGAGGTGATAGTAATAAAGGTCAGCAGACAGACCTGGAATTATGTATGCTTTTTTATTAATCTTTTGTTTTCTTTTTGGTCTCTTATTGTTGATATAACTACTGATATAAGATAGGCATGGGAAGCAAGTTCGCAGAGAAAGCCACAAGGAGCAGAGAGGTGGAAGGGAGAACCTATCACAACGATCGACACATAAACACACACACACACCCTCTAGGGGGACGAACAAAAGACATTGTGGGTGAAGGGAGACAACGGTTGGTGTAAGATATGAAAATAATAATTTATAATTTATCGGGGTCACAAGGGTGACGGGGCGGGAAGGGAAAAAAGGGAAAAAAGCTGATAGCAAGGGCTCAATAGACAGTAAATGTCTAGAAAATAATGATGGCAACCTATGTACAAATAATGCTTGATACAATTGATGTATGGATTGGTATAAGAGCCACCAATAAACTGATCTTTTAATAAAAGAAAAAAAGGGCGGCTAGAACAGGCGAAGTAGTGGAAACAAGAGCCATTGGGAGGCTAGGGGCTCTGCCCTGTTCCAGTGTGGATGGGGAGCCCCACCATGAAATAAGATGCACCTGGACTTCACCCAAGTCACAGTAAAAAGCCTTTTTAAGCATTAAAGATAAAGAAATAATTCTACAATAGTAAGTTAATTTTTTTAAATAACTGTTTTGTGCCCAGGAATCACACCTCATCCCATTTACAGATTTTACTAGCTAGACTTTCCTTGTAACGCAAGCTTAAAAGTATCACCCTAGATCAGTGGTTCTCCACCTTCCTCATGCTGCGATCCTTTAATACAGTTCCTCATGTGGTGGTGACCCCCCCAACCATCAAATTATTTTCATTGCTACTTCATAACTAATTTTGCTACTGTTATGAATCATCATGTAAATATCTGATGTGCAGGATATATTTTCATGGTTACAAATTGAACATAATTAAAGCATAGTGATTAATCACAGAACAATAGGTAATTATATATTGTGAAGTATTCATGTTTTCCGATGGTTTTAGGCGACCCCTGTGAAAGGGTCATTCGACCCCCAAAGGGGTCGCGACTCACAGGCTGAGAACTGCTGTCTTAGAATGTTTTAAATGAGGAGTCTTCGTTCTGAATGTTTCTGAACTCCATTCGTAAGTGTAACTCCGGCATCTGAAGGGGCTTCCAAAAGTGGATGGGAAAGCCCACTACCCTGTCATTCCATTTCCCTGCCAGCCCTCTGAAGCGCCCTTGTCCATCAAGGAGACGGGCACGAAAATGTGCAGCATGAAGTCGGGCTTTTGCCTCTCACTTCCTGGTATCTTCTCATACTACTCCTCTTGACTTTCTGGATTCTTATTTCAGTCATTTAAAAATAAAAAACTAATTAAAAACAATGACACTCATTTAAGGATGTCCCCTGAACCTCACCCAGCCAGGTTATTTGTTGGACCTAGAAATACAATCTGTCCTGGGCCCGTGGGGATTGCTGTTGGAATTGTTTTGGGTTGTTGAGTGACTATCAAAACCCGTTCCCTGTAAAGGGCAGGCCAGCCTCCAGACTGAGTAGTTGGTTTGCCCCAAACTCAGAAAAGCACACCCACTGCTCGAGTCTGTTCTGACTGGTAGTCCCCCTATGGGACAGAGTAGAATTGCCCCATAGGGTTTCTGAGACTGTGCGTCCCTACAGAAGCCGTCTGCCTCAGCTTTCTCCTGCAGAGTGAGTGGTTGGGGGCCTGAGTCACTGACCTTGTAGTTAGTCATCACCCCAAACTCAGCCCACTATGCCACATGGGGGTCAACAAAACCCCAAACGAAGCCCACTGCCATTGAATGACTGACTTGCCGGGATCTTATAAAGGGTTTCTGAGCCTAAGTTTTGATGGGGGAAGACACCCTCATCTTTTTTCCTGGGAAGTGGCTACTGGGTTTGAGCCTCTGACCTGTGGTGAGTAGCCCAGTGATTCATTCATTACACCACTGGGGCACAGAGAAGCGGTAATTCTATGGGGCGATGGATGGGAATGGAATGGCGCCCAGGGCTTCCTCCCTGCTGAGGTCCTGTGACCACTGAGCACAGCAGAATTAGGTAAATTAAGACATCCTTATTGCCAAGCAGCAAGAAGGTGGACTACTGGTGATGGGCCTGAGGAGGACACTGTCCTCATTGGACATTCCCACAGGGTTTGTGCCAGGGTTGGCTGTCAAGATGAGCAGCCAGACCCCTTCCAGCCTCCTGGAACTCGCGGGAAAGGCCCTGCTGAAGCACAAGGCCTTGGCCATCGACTCCTTGGAGCTGATGCCCGTGGAGCTCTTCCCACCACTGCTGAAAATCGCTGTGGATGGGAGGCACCTGGAGATTCTGCAGGCGATGATACAGGCCTGGCCCCTGCCCCTCCTGCCTCTGGGGACGCTGCTGGTGGACCAGCAGTGCCACCAGGAGATCTTATGGGTGGCGCTCAGAGGACTTGATGCCCTGCTGGACAAGGTCCGCCCCAGGTAAGATTCGCTGGTAACCTGGGGGTGGGGATGTTCTGGGAGAGGCGTTGGAAGCGCCAGGCTGATGATGATGCACAGGCAACGGAGAGATGTGGACCAGCCCCTCCCTCCCAGAAGTATTAAAAGGCAGTAGGATTTGGGAGGCGGGGTTGGTGGGACCAAAAAGATGCCATCTCTATGCATCAGATCAGAACTGCGCTCACTGGGTTTTCAGTGACTGGGCCCTGTCAGACGTGGGTGGTCTTTTTTCCCAGGCATGCCTGGGTGGGCCGAGTGCATTAACCATTTGCACCACCCAGTAGACTCCCCAAGGGGAAAGGGATGTGGAGAAGAAGGCAGAGAGAAGTGGACTGGGGAGGGAGGGCAACAGCTGAGGTGAGGGGTGACAATATAGGCCGACAACTGGTCCTTACCTAGACTTTGGGGCCAGTCATTGTTGAGTCAGTTCCCACTCATGACCTCTCCCTGGTTGTCGTGCCTGTGCGCCTGGAGTCGCCCGCCCCAGAGCCTTACAGAAGCAGCTGCCTGGCCTTTCTTCTGAAGTGCTTCTGGTTGGTGAGCAGTCGGGCGAGTTCCCATGCGTTGCCCAGGGAGCTGACCTGAATGTATCTCTGCCCGTTCTTTCCCACAGGAGGTGGAAGCTACAAGTGCTGGATTTACGGCACCATGCCCACCAGAAGTTCTGGGCCATATGGGCCAATGTTCCGGTAAAGAGCCACTACGCCCTGCTGCCAGATGCAGAGGAAGAATTGCCCGTGGCCATGAAGGCAAGAATGGAGGGTGCCAGGAATGGGGACCAGCAGCAGCCCAGGGCTCTGGGCCCAGTGGAGGTGGTCATGAACATCTGTCTGAACAAGCCAACCCTGGATGAGTTCCTGTCGGCCCTCCTCAAGAAGGCCAGGCAGAAGCACGGCCTGCTGCACCTGTGCTGCAGGAAGCTGCAGCTGCTGCTGGTGCCACTGCGCAACACCGAGAGGGTGCTCAAGACCGTGCAGCTGGACTCCATCCAGAACCTGGAGATGGACTGCACCTGGAGACTGCCCACGCTGAGCCGGTTCGCGCTGTACCTGGGCCAGATGGTGAACTTGCGCCAGCTCCACCTCTGCCACCTGCAGACCCTGCCATCCCACCACTCCCGGGCCAAGGAGGAGCAGTATGTGTGCCAGTTCACTGCCCCGTTCGCCAACCTGAGGCACCTCCGGGAGCTCCGGCTGGACTCCGTCTCCTTCCTGGAGGGCCGCCTGCACCACCTGCTCAGGTGAGCACCTGTGCCCTTTGTCTAGGAGAGCAGAACTTGCCTGCTCCCTCACCGTCAGCAGTGGGTGCCCACTCTGATGTCTTACCTACTGCCCCCAGGCTAGTAGCTGTCATGTCACCACCAGTAAAACCCAAACCCACTTCCATAAAGGAGAGTTCAATTCACAACAACTATAGGAGAGAGGAGGATTTCCCCATAGGGTTTCCCAGATTGACAGTCTCATCTTTACAGGCGGGGAGGGCAAATAGTCTCTTCTTTGACCTCTCGAACAGCTGGTGAGTTAGAACCACTGGCAGCCCTGCAGTTAGCCGTCCAATGCTGAACCCACTGCACCACTAGGGATCCAAAACTACCTGATACAGAAAGATCAAATCCATAGCCAGCCAGCCAGCTAATTCTTGTTCAATGCTGGCAGAAGAGTTGTAAGCATCAGACTCACATCAACCCTGTAAACCTTCGGGTTTCTGAGCCTATAATCTTGACAGGACCAGAGAGCTTCATCTTTCTCCTGAAGAGCAGGATGCTGGGGTGAGCAGTCCAGGGTGTAACCCGTAAGGTTCCTCTGAGGGGTCTCAGCTCATCGGATGTAGGTTGGGTTTTATGATGTGAACCAAAAGATTGGTGATTGAGCCCTCTCAGTGGTAGAAAGGCCTGGTGGGTGATGAGCTTCCATAATGACTACAGGGGAAAAAACCCAACACAGTTCTAGTCTGTAATAAACAGTCACCATGACTACCAACCTAAAAGAAGGGGTCCTAGTGGCTCGAGGGGTTCAACATGGGGTTGCCGACTGAAAGATGGGAAACCACCAGCCATTGGAGAGAGAGGGGTGAGACCCTTTGCTCCTGTAAAGACCAACAGTCTCAGAAACCCTGTGGGGGCAGTTGCTCTGTTCTGTGGTGTCTCTTAAGTAGAAAACAATTGGACAGCAGTGGCTTTGCTTGGCTGATGGTAAATCCCACGTAGCCAGGTGTCACGAACGGGCGGCCACCCACTGGAAAGAGGACGTATTGCACTCATCTACCACCGCCCTCCACTTACCACCACTAACTGCCCCACTTCTCCCCAGGCACCTGTCCACCCCACTGGAGAGCCTGTCATTCAGCAGCTGCCTGCTGTTGGAGTCCGACCTGGTACATCTGTCCCTGTGTCCCTCCACCAGCCAGCTGAAGGACCTCAGCCTGAGTGAAGTCAGCCTGTCCTCCGGCAACATTGGGCCGCTCGCAGTCCTGCTGGAGCACACCTCGGCCACCCTCCAGGACCTGGACCTGGATGACTGTGGGATGCTGGATGCCCAGTTCAACTCCATCATGCCTTCCCTGGGCCGCTGTTCCCAGCTCATGGCCTTAAGCTTCTGTGGAAACCAGGTCTCCTTTAATGTCTTGGAGAGCCTGCTGCGGCACACTGCCAGGCTGCCCCACCTCAGCAACATGCTGTACCCTGCCCCACTGGAGAGCTATGAGGAGGGCCAGGATACCGTGCACCTGGGCAGACTGACCCAGCACCACAGTCAGCTGATGCAGATCCTGTGGGAAGCGGGGCGGTCTAGCACAGTGTGGCTCAGTGCCAACCTGTGCCCTCACTGTGGCGATAGGTTCTTCTACAACCCGAACCCCATCCTGTGCCCTTGCTATGAACCTCCTACCTGAGTGCCCCACCCAAGGGCAGGGATGGTGGGCCTTGAGTAGCCTAGAATCCTCTAGAGCTGGTTTCAGGCTTGAGTTATGCCTGCATACATGGTTGTAAAGTAATGTTTAGGAATAAAGGGCTTTGTTTTTGGTCAGCTCAGTGTCATCCTTTGTCTTCCCAAGTTCGTTCTCAGAAATCTGATGAAACAGAAGTTGGGCTGGGAACCACAAAGTTGGTGGTTCAATCCCCCCTGCTCAGCCACTCCAATAAAAAGGTGAAACTTTTTAGTCTGGGAATTAGTACCTAGTACATAGGCTCAGAAACAACTCAAGCCCATCTGATAGTACTAATTCCAGGTATCAGACTTGCTGTTGGCACAACTGAGCCTTGTCCTGTGAAATTTTGTATCCACTTTTGGCCAATATAATTAACAGCTGTGGTAGCCTTGATGTAGACATTCTCATAAAGTGCAAAAATTAAGATGTCATCTACATACTGTAAAATGGTGACCTCTGAATGAGAAAAATGACTCGTTTTGAGCAAGGGCCTGATCAAACAAACAAGGGCTGTCTTGAAACTCTTGGGTGAGGGTGGTCCAGGTGAGCGAGGCGGACTGGTCAGAGGGGTCTTCAAACACACGTACGCTGAGAGTCCAGATGCAAGGAGTACAAAAGATCTCGTACTGGGAACCATTCAGTTCCCTCAGGAACAGGAGAGCAGGGTGTGGGGGGTTGAGGCTGCTGGGTGTATGGGAATCACAGCCTTATTTACCAGTCTTAGATCCGGGACCAATCTTCAATTCCCATTGAGCTTCTGAATTCTTCAGATAAGCCATTACAAAGGGCTAGTGCAGGGTACCCCCAAACCTTGAACTGTCAAGTTCTCAATTTGAACAGTCCCTGTTGTACTTCTGGCCTGAGTGTACCTCTGGTGAGGGAATGAGGTGGGGTCTCTTAATTTAATCATGGAATTCTGGGCTTTCCCTATTTGTCACTCTGTTAGTCTGGGTACATGTGTTACACAGGGTTCTCTAGAGAGATAAAACCAAATTGCTGATAATTTAACATTTATTTATAAAGATAATTAGATAACAAGAAATGAACTGTTAAATCATATACAGATAAATATATAATACAAGAAATAAACAGTTACATTATAAAGCACTACAAATAGCTCAATTCAACTCACTCCCGTGAGAGTTGTGAGAGACTAG